AAGAATATTATGACTGAGTTAGTAATAATTAGAGTACTATGGAGTTACGCTAGGTTGAAGTACTCGTTTCCTAGAGTCCCTGGGTAAACATTAGTCTACGAGATATTTCACATTTGTATATAAGACCTGGAGGATATTTCGCATATAGGACTGAAGGATATTCCGCATATATGATTCGGAGGATATTTCGCATATAGGGCCCGGATGATATTTCACATATAGTAAGCGGATGGTATTTCGCTTATAGGACCCGGGTGATATTTCACATATAGAACCTTGATGATATTTCGCATATAGAACAGGGGGGTATTTCGCATATAGGACCCGGTGATATTTTGCATATAGAACCCGGATGATATTTTACATATAGAACCCGGATGATATTTAGCATATAGGACTCGGAGGGTATATCGCATATATGACGCGGAAGGTATTTCGCATATATGATTCGGATGATATTTTACATATAGAACCCAGATGATATTTAGCATATAGGACTCGGAGGGTATTTTGCATATAGGATCCGGATGATATTTCGCATATAGAACTCGGAGGATACATTGCCATTTTTGCGCGAAAAAAGTGGGTCTTATAATAATTGGTGTTAGTCTGCAAATGAGTTGCATTTGGGCAATGAGTTATTAACGAGCCTTGGTAACAAGCAATAATTGTTAACTTGAAATTTAATGTTGCCAAAATTCTTAATTGAACATATTTTGTGAAAATATAAGGATCATAACTCCCAGTTATGAGGGCAAAAACGTATAAGAGGTTAACAACTCTACTGGTGTTGTCACTATGTTAATCTTGCAAGCCGTTAATAGTTTTTTCTTCTTTAATGGTAGGTCCGTGAATATAGTCTCGTACAATAAAAAACAAAGCTAGTAGAGGTGTTTTAGAGTCTGAAATAAAATTACCACATAACAACGGAGCTTAACTACCTTGAAAATCAGCATTTAACATCCTGGTGTTTTTTGTTTGTTTTATTATTCTAATACTAACTACCAACAGCGGTGAGGAAAAAAACAACTGTCTTAGCCACATAGTAGGTCAAATATTGAATGTAAACAGAAGAATAGTTTTATTTTTAGAAATGACGTCTAAAGAGCGGCGATTCTGCCAGTACCAATTTTATCAAACATTGGACTGGAATTCACCGATCTTGTAGACATAGCACTCAACGCAGAAAGAGTATTAACAGATGACAGCATGTATAAAGACTGTACAGTATTAACATCGAATGAAAAATAAAAAAGAAAGTCCATTTGTGACAACTTGCATCAAGTAACGGCCTACATCAGGCTACGAATAGCCATTGCGATGAACAGAACAAAAGACTTATAAGTGGAAGAATGTTCTATAAGGATGAGAATTGGGAAATATCCAACCATTTTCTAGATTGATGTCCAAATTTGATTACTAAAAATGGTTAGCTCTTTGTAAAATGAGACGTCATCTTTTAATCTTGTCACTTATACGATGTCATTATCATGGCCATTTCGACAGAGGCGTAATGCTTATTTGGCTTAATAATCACTTATTGCCTTGGAAAGACCTCACTGGTTACAAACTATTTTTTATTATATTAACATGAATTTTTACATGACCAGTCGTTGTCTACTTACGTATTTTTGATCAGTATTATTTTTATCTTAAATTATTATTCTTCATTTATACCAGAAATATTAATGGCAGAAATCTTCAATTTTTAGTAAAGAATACGCAATCATTATTTTTTTTTTTTTTTTTACTCATATTCGTTTTCATTTTAATTGTTTTATTTATACTGGTAATAATAGTAATATTAACTATTTTTTAGATCAAGTATAGTCGGCCATTATTAATTTTAGACTTATATTTCTTGAATTTAATTACACTTGGCTCATTTGCACTATTCGTTATAACAGTAAAATATATCATCATTTATTCGATGAAATGTCGTCAACATTTATTGTATAAAATACAATTTTGGCACAAGGCCGAAAATGAGGGGTAAAGACCTGAGGCTGGTCGTCACTATCTTATAGCTAGCTAATCCGATTCACTCGTTACAATTTGCACATTCACCACAATAACATCATTCAATCTTCAATCCTCCATATACAACAATACTGGATACTCTCAGGGGACTTACATAAATCACCCCATGGCATAAAATTTAACGATTATAAAATTTGATATATAAAAATCTGTCAATGATACGTAATGAGGGGGAAGGAGGATACGAACCCAAAAACAAACTAAGATATCAAAACAAACACACAAATAAAAGGATAACTGATTTTAGATAGACCAGTCAAACCCTCAAAAGAATTAAGACGCTGTATTCTGACTTTAGACAAAATCAAGAAGCTCTTTCACTAAAATGAAATATTGTCAAACATTATTAAACTTTTTTACTAATAATACTTGCATAATGACGAAAGTACACAGGTGTGGTCTTTAAGAAAGCTTTATTCAACTGAGAATACAAGGTTCGCGTATAGTGTTCTTTTATAGTCCCAGTTAACAGAAATAACGCTTTCAAAGAGAAGAGTAACAAAACAAGGGGAGACTACTCTTGATTATTCATAGCAACTTTCATCTTAATTATATCGGTTTTATTTACACTAGTAATGCTAATAGAAGAAATATTAGCTTAAATTTTAATTAGATAAACATTTTTAGTCATTAAGTTTTTGACTAATAGTAATTTCATTTTAATTTCAATTGCGCTTTTTCTATGATCCTAGAATGACATTTTGTTTTAAAAAATCATGTCACACCAAGTAAGGCAATAAAGTCACTGAAACGCAAGGAGGTTAATGACTGTGAGATAATATGAGAGAAAATAATTATTAAAGAGTGAGAACAATAAAAGAAATTAAGAAGACTGAAGATAACAATTATGTTTTTAAAGTTCAAGTTTAACTGGGAAGCAAAACGCGACGAGGGAGTTCCACAATAAAGAAGTGCGGGAGAAGAAACTGTTAGCATAGAACTTACGGTTACATCTAGCAATTTCAGTTGTAAAATGATGAGACCTAACTGCCAATCTAGTACTTCGCTTAATTTAGGAATTTAAGATTTAAGAAATTGCGAGGAAAAACAAATAAAACAAAGATGAAAATTAAATTATAAGTTCGAATCAGGATTGTATAACGTTAGCATTTCTGTTTGATCGACATCCATCTTAGTTTCTATAAACGTGTCGATTTGTGCTTTTCTATTTGATAGAATACAATTTAATTCGTTAGTGAAATGATCTAATTAACGCGAGTGCTCGATTCCTAAGTTCTTGTGCCAGATATTAGGTTGAGTCATAAATAATTACCGTTTGTTGAGGGACGGATTGTAATGATGAGTGTGTAATGGAAAACGTACGCAGGTGTAGGCTTAAAGAAAGCCTTATTCAACTGAGAATACAAGGTTCGTGTATAGTGTTCTTTTATAGTCCCAGTAAACAGAAATAGCTCTCTCAAAGAGGAGAGTAACAAAACAAGGGGAGATCACTCTTGATTATTCATAACAGTGTATCATTCCAACAACTAATCATACGGTGCAGTTAAGAATAAATTTGAAGTACGCTAATAAACATTAGTGTTTTGGAACGTAATTTCCTTCGAATTTTCTCAGTCCAGTGGCAGTCTTTAATCTCGCATATCATATTCGGTATTTAGACGCACGCCCTCGACGAAATGCCGTGTGACACAAGGTCAAGTTTAATATGGGTTTATCGGCAGTACGGTGAAAAGACTCTTGAAGTTCCCTCAGCACTGCCCCATTTTAGACAAAGCCTCAGACGCCAGATAATAAACCCAGTCCCCTCCCGAAGGAAAGGTACTGCTTGGGTGGATGGCCCCCTGGGAATTGAGCAAATATTATTGGTAAAGGAGTTCGCTCTTTTGCCGGCGAGATACTTGCGTATCTTATCCGAGATTTACTCTTTGGGTCCTGTCACTGGATCTAAGCAACGCCTTCATCCACTGTGCCATGTGTCCTTGAGAACTAAGAGTGTGAGTTCAATACCCGGTTAAGGCAGTGGAGAACTTTCAGAGGGAAATTAACAGGAGATAACTGATAACTGACATCCATTAAACATGGAAAGTGGAAGTAGAACAGTCTACCCCAGTGAGCGAAAAAAAGGGTTGTTCGACATTCCAACCACCTGAAGAAGGCCGGAGCGTACAACGGCCGAAACGTTGTAATAAATATGGCGACAAAGATGAGGACAATAGTCCGAATAATGTAAATAATGTGCATAATACCTCATCTCAGAAATATACACCGATACTGTAGCGAGTTCGACTCTCACTAGGTTACACACATTTGTGGTCTGGTATCAGATTCAGCTAAACTGAGTAAATGCCAATCAGAGTAAATAGATAAATAGTTATTTTTACAAAATCTACCACATGAAAATGTATTTTTTAAGGAGAACCAGTGATCTGAAAGAAACAGACCGTTTGTCAGATTTTATGACGTAAATCGATGTATTTAAAATAAAGTTGGCATTAACGAACCGATGCTATAATAAATATCTTAAATAAGGATACATTTTAAAAGCTGAAATTTGCGTAAATATATTGCAAGGTATAAATATATGTTGTAAATTTTATTAACATGGATTGAAACAATTTTTTAATGGAAACAGTGAATTGCATAAAAAAATCTGATATAGATAGATATACACTGACTGGTATAGATAGATAAATAGATATATCTAAACAGACAGTGAGATAAATAGATAGAAAGAAAGATTCGTTTTTTACGACTTATCAACCCATTGCAGGTCATTTAAAGAAAATTTTAGTTTGTAAGATGTTTCGTTTTTGGGGGTAATAATGATTTAGTGATACAAGTTTTACTAATTAACCCATAGCTGGGGGATGATGTGGATTCACGCCTTTCCTAAGAGTATTTCGCATAAGTGAATATAACAAACCCAAGTGAAATTAGAACTCGGCTCTCCGATTAACAATTCTGAGCCATTATCCACTGCATCACACGCACACCCAATCTTACAGCACCTGGCATTCACAAACGGTCACCCATCTAGGTACTGACCAGACTTGACATTGCTTAACTTCGTATGGGAACCGGTGTTGCAATGTGATGTGACCGGAAGCTTAGCTTAGCTTAGCAGTTAGATAGATAGATAGATAGATAGATAGATAGATAGATAGATAGATAGATAGATAGATAGATAGATAGATAGATAGATAGATAGATAGATAGATAGATAGATAGATAGATAGATAGATAGATAGATAGATAGATAGATAGAGTGGGTATAGAATGAGATAGATAGATAGATAGATAGATAGATAGATAGATAGATAGATAGATAGAAATAGCAAGTGTCTGAGGTGGCTGAGCACAGACTAAAAGAAACTGAGATTGACAGAGAGATGTGAATAGAAAAGAATAATTATAAAGTTTTTTTTTGGCTTTTTTTTCAAATTCTTCGAATTGGACTGAATGATATCTAAAGGTTCTTGCAATCCAGTCTTCGTGTAATTCCAGACTTTAAAACAAAATCGCTCTATTCGCTGCTAATCTCAACCAACTGGATTGACATTAGATAATTCCCTTGATCTTGTCTAAGACGTTTAAGAAACGATAGCGTACATATGCCATTCGAAGAACAGTTCTTGGTCTGATGTTATGGCTGTTAAAATATTCCTAAACTTTAGGTGGCACCGTATTTTCTTTTCTAACTAATTTACGCTCGGTCACCATAACATGTGACATTTCAGTTAACCCCAGACTATGTTTTTGAGAGAGAGAGAGAGAGAGAGGTTATATACCCAGTACTAATCCGGGTACTAGATCTATTTATAACGGTTTATCAAGGATATTATCCAGTTTGAAAATCACATTTTAGGACCAGTGAAAATCACATTTTAGGCCCAGTTAAATATATTAAACAGTTAACGTTCGATCCCGATGGCATCTGGCATTCAATTAGTAAATATGAATGAAGACAGAGGATAACTTATCTTAACTGACGCATTTCGTCCTCTCTACGCACACAAATTCCTTCGTTCATGAGGCATTGAACTGTATCAACTCACGTCCATGAACTTGCATGACGTTTCCGCTAGCGGTTAGCCTAATAAACAAAAGACTTCGTATGTGTAGAGAGGATGAAACGCGTCAGCTAAGATAAGTTTTCCTAGTGTCTTTATTCATATTGTTCTTTTACCGATTTACTGATATATATATATATATATATATATATATATATATATATATATATGCATGTTTCATTAAAAACGACAGACAACATACTACGATTAATCTTTTTATTTCATTTTCCATGTGTTTTTACTCTTGTTCGAACACAAGAAAAATTAAATAAATAAGCTTAACCGTAGTACCTTGTCCGTCGTTTTTAATGAAACATGCATATAGAAAGGATATATATATATATATATATATATATATATATATATATATATATATATATATATATATATATCGCGTGTCGAAAAAAAAAACTCCGACACGATTAAAGTAAAAATAACTAAGGAAAGTACTCAATACGCTAAGTAAAGCAAAATAAATAAACCTAAAGAGCCAGGCAAACCTACCTACATTTTTTTTGTTGTCCAGTAAAGTACATACCCACCGTCTTTTGGCTTCTTTTATTATTATTATTATTATTATTATTATTATTTTATTTGTCACGTGGTCATGGTTAATTTTGGTTTTAGCAATAAATACTCTTCCATATTTTCCTTTTTCAGCCCGCATTACCCTGATGATCCGTTTAGGTGAAACCTAGGTAGGTTTGCCTGGCTCCTTAGGATTATCTTAGATTTTGCTCTACTTTTTGTATTGAGCACTTTACGTAGTTGTCTTTTTACACGTTTTGGGATTTATTTTTTTTTTTGGACTTGGAACTTGAACACTGGACGATTGTTTTCGCCTTAGTTTAATGTTCTCGGTTCTTTCTTTTTTTATTCCCATTTTTCGTTGAGTACCGATTTGTTCTACTGCAAGTTGATCTATCCGAGGTTTTTTCCAAACGAGTACCACCATATATATATATATATATATATATATATATATATATATATATAAGATACAATTTTCAGCATTCAATCAGAAAGAAAATGAATAATATACTTTCATATATATATATATATATATATATATATATATGAAGATAGATAGATAGATGCATACACACACACACACACACACACACACACACACATATATATATATATATATATATATATATATATATATATATATATATAAGGTTTTTAGAATCCCACTCGACTTTTCAAAATTAAACAATTGTCGAATTAATTTTCCGTATAGAATTTCTTCACATTATTTCAAATTCCTTTTATGAGTGAATATTAAATTGCGTAATTCCATTTTAAACACACAATTAACATCGACTACTTAAGGAGGAAATGGTATTCATGTCTATAAAGTCTCCGTAGCAGATAATAATCGCTCTACATTTATTCGCGTAATTCAAGGCCACACTTTTCAGAGCACCAGATAAAAATCGAAATTATCAATGGCTTTCATGAGAAGCGCATTCGTCGTTAATCAGCGGTTAATATTTTACAAGTACATGAATGTAAAGAGACAGCGAAAGAC